TCTCCTCTTCCTACTGTCATATAATTATTCAGTTACGTAACTAATTATGTTGCATTTGTAAGTCAGTGTTCAGACTCTCATCTCAAAGCAGTCTCTTCATTTTAAGCATCTGTTTGCCTCCTGTTAATAAAATGAACAATAAGCACACAAAACTCCCATTAATTTTAATGGCACGGAAAGGTTTCCAACTTAGACTGCAATTAAATACAAACAATAGTTTGCACCCAACCCACCTAAAAAAACACTGAGAAATTACTGCTGCTCATACAGTGGTAGAAAACACTAAACAATAATAAAACTGCAAGAACACACACACACATTTTATGCTTTTCTGCATCACATATCACTCAGCAGGAGAAAAAAAATCTTTCAGTAACTTGTGCCCACAGAGACACGCTGCTGCTGGAGAACCCAGAGACCTTTCCTCAGGCTGCAGAGTGACTCTGGGCGCAGCCCAGCCGCATGGGGCTTTTACAGGCTTCAAAGGTCCATAAATATGAGAAGGTGAGGGATCCTAGCACAGAAGGTGAGACCACAAAACCACCAAGCTGTCAGTTTATCTTCCAAAGCATCCTGGAGTAACCTTCATCCATGGCTTAGGGACAATCAATAACTTGGGGATTTCCTAAAACAGACTTGCACCTTTATTACCCACCCATGCCTTCATCCAGTGACTTACAAAGGCTGCATTTTTGGTCCTGCAGTTCTGACCTCCACAATTTCCTGTGCCAACGACTTGTGCAGCGTGGTCAGCCAGCCTGCAAAAAAACACTTCCTTCTTTTTGTTTTAATGTGGCTACCAGATAATTTCAAATTAAGACCTTTTACTTCTTGTGTTACAAGAAGCTGCAAATACTCATTTCCAGGGGCAGCTGCTACCTTGAGGACAGCAGGGTTCATCCCTGCTGCAACTAAATAACCCTCAGCAAAATCTTCCCAAACTCTATTTTTCTCTTGTGCTAAGCTTTTTTTTTTTTCTTGTGAGAGAGCATGTGCAAGCACCAGGCCCAGCCCCACAGCACACCAGAACAGAAAGTTGGCTACAGCTATGCAGTCAGTAGGGCATTTCCCTTAACAGCCCAAAAGTCGCAGAGACAGGCATGTGGTCGACTTAGGTTGAGTGCAAAAAAGCAGCATGTAGGATGAAGTTACAAGGTCCTTCACATCCTAGTGGCATTTTTTTTCCCCTCTTTTCCAGCATATCAACTAAATATTCTCATCATCTTAGTATTATCTTGACAATCAATAAGCTATACTGTTCTGGTTTGTTAAGATGTTATCTTAAACTTCCACTGTTTTATATGTACCCCTATACACACACACACACGTGTGCACGTAGTACAAATTTTTTTTTTTTTAAGATCTCTACCAGCTGAAAAGCATTAGAATTGCCACATCTCTTATCATGGTACTTAAAACTTGTATTTTCTTTTATTGCATTGCACTCACCATCCCAAGCTGACAAGTTCTTATCTGTTAAGTCTTTTCTTGCATGGAAGCCTCTAGACACTGTCATGGCCCTTCACAGTATTTTTTGCAGGCCCTTTTTTTGAATGAAATAACCATAACTGTGTGTGGTACTCAGAATGCAGCAGCCATGGATTTATACAGGGGCGTAATTATGGTTTTAATTTTCTTCTCAACTTTTTTCCTAATAATTTCTCACATTCTAGTTGGTTGCAGTTTTCTTGGTGAGCCCTAAGTCAGTACATATATTGCTCTGCTTTTATCAATGTTTAATTTAATTTCCCAAATTATTTTCCACTCAATTATTTTGTTTGGAAGGGTTAAGTGGATAAATCCCTAAAACTAAATATGCATTTATGACATTGCCATAAAAATCATTAAGAAACAAGAACAACAGGAGATTTTAATGGGAGCAGTAGCAGAGCCTAATCAATTTTGGCATTTAAGAGTCTGTATTTCAATATGTAATGACAAAACCTGATAAAATTAAGACAATCTACAATCAGACCAGCTGTTCCTATCTCAGGTCAGATGGGTAGGTAGTCAAGAGAAACAGTTTTGGCCATAGGAATTTAATTTGCTGCAACAGATCTGCAACAAAACTTGTCGAACAGAAAGGACCTGAACGCAGAGATCTCATACCAGGGCTGAGCTCTTCATGAACTGAAAACATTTGCTTGCCTTGGACTCCAGGTGCCCGTGAACCCCTCCAGTATGTTAGAAATAGTAAATGACAAAAACACCCAAGAGCTGTCCAAACATATTCAGATGACACACATCTTACTATAACTGCTGAAAAGATCATTAGGACACTGATTCAAAGTAGTTTCTTAATCCTGCAATAGAATACCTATCACTGGACATTGTCTACATATATGCTGATTTTTTTCAAACGAAATTATAATTTTTGCTAATGTTAATGCTAAGGGCTAGTATACAGACTATGACTAACTCAGATGCCCTTCAGATACCAAAATCACCATGATTAGGAGACGTAATCTTCAAGAGCATTTCAGATTTTGCAGAAAATCTGACTATAGCAGTTGCAGTGAATAATTTTCCCACAGGCCTTTTAAAATTTAACTTTTCACAGCTCTGTTTGACAGGTGTGTGTGCAGATGTAAGCCAGACATAGCTGACTGGGCTTGGATGTAAAGATACATATTTTGTTGGTTCATCTAATGTATACAATCCTATACACAAAACTCCCAGAGGAGCTGCCATGATGATTTAAAAATGAAAAAACAAAACCTGTTTGGGGAAGACATCAAAACACTCAAATAGGGAGGGTCCTCTTTCCCCCAGATTCTTGTACTGTCTTTTCCTGATCCCACTAATCTAGTTTGCAAAGGTAAGTTGCTTGCAGCAATGTCCTGGCAGAAATGAAACAGTCTTTACTCAGGGAAAAAACTAATTGTAATCCTTCTCCCATTATACATTAGAGCATTCATTAGCACATTTTCAGCTTCCAGCAGCAAGGCACTGGGATGCTGGATTCATACGTACCTGTCCTGGCATTGCTGCTGGACTGCAGCCACAAAGGGGCTGTTGTGAAACAAGCTAGCTTGGGCACCCACAACAGTATAGGCTAATAGGAGTGATGGTTTTAAACTAAAGGAGGGTAGATTTAGACTGGATATAATAAGAAATTTTTTACAGTGAGGGCGGTGAGGCACTGGAACGGGTTGCCCAGAGAGGTGGTGGAGGCCCCATCCCTAGAAACATTGAAGGTCAGGTTGGACGGGGCTCTGGGCAACCTGATCTGGTTAAAGCTGTCCCTGCTCACTGCAGGGGGGTTGGGCTGGATGACCTCTAAAGGTCCCTTCCAACCCAAAGCATTCTATGATTCTATATTGCCCTGCCAAAACGTTTAATGACTCACTTCTGTGGTCTTTTATTTCAGTTCACTGAACAGTCTATAAGAAATCCTATCTGAACACAATTAACCTTTTTCTTGATTGACTGATAGTAAAGCATACATATGCTAACATTGATGTTATACCCAAATCCTGGAAAGAAATGAATCCGGAGATGCAATAAGAATCTGATCAACATATATATACCAACACATATATTCCTTACAAATGGAACCTTAGAAAATGTTTTTTTAAATTCTGATTTGCAGAAAGAAAAGCAGTTCACTGTAAAACAACTTTTTGATAACAAAGTCTATGTGCTATTAGAAACAGATTCATAGGTGCATAATATTGGTGTTTTAGCTTAGTTATTTCAAAGCTCCTAATCTTAACGTAGAAATTCTTCCAAAAATAGATGCCAGCACTGCTTTAGTAACATCGTTCACTTTGGGGCAATGCAAATAAATTTTTCCAAATGAGTCATAGCAGTAAAATATTAAAGCTTCATCACTTAACTACTTAGCAAATACAATGATCCACAAAACTTCGTCATTCAACTACAATGACAAAATTCACCAAGCAATATTAAATGTAAAGCTAGTATTCATGGTTCAGGAAACTGAGCCACAAATTTTTACTTAGAAAGGACTAGTATTTTGGGGGAGTACTGCTGGAAGTGTAGCAGGCAACTGTTGTATTTGCTAGCAGAGGTAGAATGCTACACTAGACATACCTGACATAGCTCCTCTACTATATAAAAATAAACCAACAAAAGCTGGCAACTGTAAGACCAGCATGTTGGTTCCAAAGCACAGATTTAGGCAGCAGCAGATTGGAGCTGATACCTGCTCTATCTTAGTAACAAAGGCTTCCTTTTAGTACATACATTTAATTTTGATAGCATAATACTGAAAAACAAATGTCTCCATCCTCAGACCCCCCCAAAAAAGGGAGTTACTTTCCATTGCAAAAGTCAACAAGTCTTTCTGGTGGCGTGGGGAGAGAGAGAGACATTACATCATAGCACCCAAATAAATGAATTTATACACTGTTACTGTTACAAAAAACTACCTGTTTCGCTGAACATCAGTTCCTTTACCTCTAAAATAATCACAGCTGTTTAGAAAAAAAAATAATTGATTATTGTATATTTTACAGTAACAGAACATGACTTCTCCAAGCAATGCTGTTACTTGGAGAACCAGTTACATTCCTCTCAAGCAGCTGGAAAAGTTCATATCTGCAATAAAATAAAGACCGATTTTGAATCCTCCCCAATACTACCAGTCTGCAGGACGATCAAGTGGGCAACCCAGCATGTAAAGCTAATATTAAGGAATAAAATCAGGAACAATAAGAACTGAAATAAGCAGCACACACTATGCATATACTGTAGTATATCCACAAAGAGGCTAACAGCTGCTTAATGTAGCATGCAAATGGACTTGGCCACAACTGAATCTTAAAAAAGCAGCAGGTCACCCGAAAGCATTCCCAGGTGCAAACCCTTTTAACTCAATAGCTACCAGTCAACTTAGATTTCCCTTTCTCAGCAGTTCTCAAAACAATCAACATCGCAACAGAGTGTACTATATGCCAAAACACCAAATAGTACAAACACACATGCACATAAAATTCTCATTAGATTTCAATTTGAAAGCATTTTGCTTATGGAAACAACACTCTATGACGTACAGCAAAACTGTGAAGAGCTTCTATATTTAAAAGTTGCTGCCACACTCCCACTTCAGTGGATCACTTTCAAATTTTAATAATTTTCACAAAACTTGTTTTCATTGAAATTTGGCATACTGACTCTCAAACTAAGGTATAGGGGAGCTGTTTTGTATTTTTTAACAAAATATTTAGTCAAAATGCACAGGGATATTTTCAAGCGCTACTTCCCATCTTGGACAGAATACAAAAACATTTGCTAACATAAAAAACTATTGCATCGGCAGGAGATGCTAGAATCTTAAAATCTGGCAAGGACACAGAAGTTGTTTTTCAGCGGCTCAGTGAAAACAGCTTTTGATTTAGTGTGTGACTTTTAATTAAATAACAGTCCTCACTGACAAAATTAATATATGCCCATGTAAGCAAGTGAGAAACCTCAGCGCAGTGTTGGGAGACTGACATTGGTCAGACTGTATTCTGGCTCGTCTTCCTCCTGAGCTGTCCCTTCTCTACCAGTACATACAAAAACACCTTTGCAAACACCACCAGCCAAATCCCCTCAAGTCAGAGCATTAGAATACTCAGCTGCCTTCCTATTGCCTTTCTCCTGCATGGTGAGCAGTTATGGTTTCAACAATGTTTAACTGTAAGTGTAAAAATACATTTTTCTTTTTAGGTGCAGGTTTTGATGGCTGGGGGGAAAGAAGTTGCCTGGGGCAACTCATCAATTATGTTTGCTTTGAGAAACAGGTCAGTCCTTGAAGCCACTATTGCAGCAGCAAATCCATGCTTGTTCACATGTTCCACTAAATCATAGGGACCATGCAGCCACTTTTGATGTCTGCTAAGTGGCACTGAAACCAAATTTCAATATCTTAACTGAAAGACCATTCCATGTCTTTCATTTGTCACAGCATCTATTATTAATTTCACTTCTGACCTCTTCCTACTTAATAAAACATAGATGCTTTTCACCTATTATCTCAAATCAACAGACAACAAAATTAAAGGTTTCTGTCATTTCAAAACCTAAGCAGAAGGAAACAACACTCTAACAGATGAATAAAATGAAAAAGGATCCAAAGAGAATAAATACACACATTGGGCGAGTGAAGTAGTTGCTGACTTACTATTTCTTTACTCTCCTCTTTGCAATTTATTTCTTGGATCCTCTCCAAAATAGCCTTCTCGGAAGGTTTAACTATTGCAGATCCACCACTGAGTAGGGTAGCGATTTGCTCTTTAAAAGCCACTAAAGAACTCTGAGCAGTCCTGGCCTCTTCTCTGCTGCTCTTCAAGCTTCCATCCAGCTCACTGGAAGATTTCTTCAGATTGTGCAGTTCCTGCTTTGAGGCGTCCAAAGCTTTCTGGTTAGCAGTCAGTTTATCTTGGAGGTTTCTGATCTCCATCTCCAAACTCTGCCTCCCTATTATAGTACTGTCAAGATCCTAAAATACATGAAAGATTAAACCAGGCTTTTAAAATTTGTTATAACCCCTCCCTTCCACATACAAAGCAGGGAATAACTCAGAAGCAGGTACTGCAGATAGAGAAATTAGGACCATATTGCTCATATGGGCTCAACATCAGGGCTTCATAGGAGAATTCCCCCTGAAATTGATGAAAGTCCAAAGACTGCTGTAATCACACTATAGACTAACCTCTTGCAGTGGCCTGCAAGAAGTAATACATTAATAAAATTTGCAGGTAAACAAAAAACAATTTTTATTGTAAAACTATTGCTTATTTTTTCATTCAGATAATATGACTTGGAAAACAAATGGTGAACAAGATGTAACACAAATAAAGCCAAAGTCCTACACCTCAGAGGGGAAAGAATGGAATGGAATGGAATGGAATGGAATGGAATGGAATGGAATGGAATGGAATGGAATGGAATATTTCCGTTGGAAGGGACCTACAACAATCATTTAGTCCAACTGCCTGACCAATTCAGGGCTGACCAAAAGAATACACAGAAACTCTTTGATTATAGTGCGAAAAGCAGAATTAGAGGTGATCTCTGAGATCAGCTTATATGAATGTGACAAAAATTTCTGAGATTATCTATACACAGAAATGGGGATTGAGGAGCCAAACAAAAAAAAAAATGATGATAAGACAGCACAAAAGAAGGTGCAAATGCTCAAATACCAATTTCACCTCAACTTATATGGTGAAACATTCAGAAAAATCTTCAAAAATGGAATTATTCTGAGCTATGCCATCTTCTGAAGAAAGTAAAATCCCTATCGCCATAAGGTCAAATTTGCCTGAGGAATAGAAGAGAGTCAATGCAGAGCTATGTGTCCTTCCACAGATCCTACAACTGCCCCCATCTGCAGCTCAGCTGGGCTGTCGGTGTGGAGAAGCATGACTGGAGAAAGACTAATGGGATGGCCGTTCTATCTAGTACCCTTGTAACTTCCCCTCCACCCCCCACAAAAAAGTCAGTCCCTTGCATTTCAGAAGTAATATACTCAAAGACAATGTCATCTTCAGTAGGGAGACAGGGTACTGTAAGATAAGGCTACCTGGTGAATAGCCCATAGGATTTACTGCTCAGGGACATCCTCAGATCTTTGGCATTTTGTCATGGTTCTCATTCAGCCCCTGACACCTATGAACCTTTCCTTCTAAGCACAGAGCTTTTAAAAGTTACTTTCCCTTTACCTTCTGATGAATTAAGACTTGGTTTGGAAAGAAGAAAAAATAGCCAGTACATATATGTCTATATTGGTTGTATATAAAATATTGACCCAAAAGGGCAGAGCAGACAGACAGAACTGTATATTCTGACCCATGACGCAAAAGCAAATGATAGAAAAATGAAAGAAAAATAACCCATCTAAACATAAAGAAAAAATCATCTCTCTCAGTCAGTCAGCTTGTGAACTTCTCTCCTTTCCATAAGAGTGTTTACACATTCATAAACAAGAAAAAAATTTGCAGTGAAACCAACCAGAAGCGTAGCAAAGACTAAGTCTTCATTCCTCAGGGTATTATGTGATTGATAGGAACAAATGGGAGAGGGTATTACTTCACACAAGACACAAAATTATGCCAGAGGATGGCATATTTATAGAGAACAAATTGCTCTGGAAGTTTCAGTTGTTTAGTAGAGGCTCAGTAAGTGGATTGATATGAACTACGATTGTGTACATTGGAATTAAAGAATTATTCCTGGAGCAGCTGTGAATATGGTGACCACTCAGGGGTCTCTCAGGGTCTACGTGTGCTTGCTGTGTAGCATAGTAAGTCATTACTATTAATAGAATACATGCCAATCAAATAGTAAATCTGGGAGTATTTATGTAGGTCAGCAGTGAGGATGGACAAAAAGGGAGTTTGGGAGGCACCCTTGGAAATAAAACATAAACATACGATACTAAAAATACTAAAATTTTTAAATAGCTTCAAAAGGCAAACATGTGAACACATAAATAAAAACAAACCAAAACAAACCCTGTCATTTAGGAAATTATTTGTTACTACCCCTTTCTAGAGTAATTGTAGAACTCTCTCAGAAACAATTGCTGGCATGATTCCTTGCCATTTTCTCTTTTTTATTCTAAACACATCCTATTAATAGAAAATTCCCACCTGCACTCAGAATTACATTATGGTAATTACAGCAAAGAATGGAGAGTGGTTTATTTCAATTACAGTTTTCAGCAGTGTGTATTTTTCCTTTCAGAAAGGCAGTGCAAAAGTAGTTTGCCAGCACCAGGGAGCTGGCCTAATTACAATCTTGTTCCAAATTGTGAACATCTGCAAACACACACAGTTGAATCAAAAGATCAAGGTATAAAATAAGGAACTGCAAGCCTGTTGATGCCTAAACATTAAAAAAAAAAAAAAAAAAAAAACCAAACCAAAAACCAAAAAACCACCCAAGCAATTTACAGAATTAAAAGCTGTAAAGCTCAAAACATTAAAATTGTGAACAATCCTCCTTGAAACCTCCCTTGAATGGAGAGCATTTACACTGGCTAGCTTCAGCAAGGTCAGCCTGAACGTTGAACAGTATCCAGAAATTTAGGGTCTGTGGCATATAAAGGTGGTATCCCAACTAGAAACAAACCCCTAAGTGCCTAAGTGATGAGTGCAAGAGGATAAAACAATTTCCACCCCAGAAGACCAAAAGGATGGAACTGCAACAGCTTGTTTTCTCTTTGGCTCCTCAACATTTTATGGCTAATGTCCCACAGCTCTGAATCATATGAAGGTTTCAGTATGCAACTTGTAGGGTCAAAAAAGCTACTCAACACTGACACAAAACAAATTTTGAAAACAGGAATAATTATAGAAATTGATGTTCAAAGAAGACAGAATTGGACATTAGGTGGATTTATCCGGCGTAGACCATGTCAATGACTGGTTGTTAGACACAAGGGATGTGGCAGATCTACTATGGCCATGCTCACCTGCGGACATAGAAAGCAGCACCAAAGGTTCTTCAGCTATCCGAGACCAGAGCAAAAGGGCTCATACAGCACAGTGCTGTACTTAAAGTTCCCACTCAGGCTGGGATGCAGTCTACCCGCACTCACCTGCTGGCACCCTACCTGCGCTAGACTAGAGAAGATGTTAGAGCACCCAGACCACTGCACAAGACACTGGCAAGGCCTCCCTCATGAGAAATCATATGTTCAATATTAGGGTCAGCTGCGTTCACAGAAAATGCGCTCAAGCTGTAGCAGGTGGGAGAATTACTTGTGTCTTTTAAGCAGAGAAAGAGAAGGACTCTTTTATAAGGAATGGCTAAAAGAGCTGTATTTAACACTGCAAAACAAAACGAGGGAGACGATCACATTAAAGAGGCAGATGAAAGAGAGGAAACAAGAAGGGATAAGATCTTTTAAGTAATAATACATATCCTCACTCTGTTGATGTCAATATCTACAATGTATTTTTTAAAGCTGTGATAACTCTTCCTTAATATACTGTATTTTTTCCTATTTCTCAAAATTTCAACTAGCATGTCCTATACACATATAAGGTCTGTTGGTTTGTCATTTCATCCAATAATAATTTTTTTAAAGTGGATACTTGTCAAATTAGGTACTATTTCTGAGGCAGTTTTAAGTGTCAGATTACATACTGTAATTAATAATTAACCTATTTCAACTTTGAATTTCTTTAGAATGTCTGAGTGAACACTACCTACTCCAAAGTGATTCAGGTGTTCAACCTCAGTTTTCCAGAGCTTTGTATTACCTCCTCTAGTTCTCCCTTCCTAAAGAAAAAAAAAACCAAAAAAACCCCCAACCAAACAAAAAAACCCCAACCAAACAAAAAAAAACCCAACCAAACAAAAAAAAACCCAACCAAACAAAAATACCCACCAACTGAAGCAGATTCAGAGAAAACACAACAGGTTCACATCCCAAAAGCATTGTAGCATTTTATTGTGGTTGTAAGTAAGCACAAATTTAATTGCTCATTTACCTAACCATACACTGCAAAAATGAAAATCTTACTTTCATCTAATCCAATAGATTAAAACAGGCTGTGAAAATGTTTTTTCTCTAATTATTTTGCATGTATGACATTACAGAAGTATGCCACGCCCTACTAAAAAAGCCACTATTGTGTCTTTGTGGATGAGGTTATGATAATACTGATTTTTATCTCCAGTGCCAGTTTCACCTTAACTTCTGAAGAAAAAAAGAGCAAAGAAGGTACAAAACTCTCTTCTTGTACTGAAATTTTTGACCCTGGAATGGCTTTGCTCAATTTTAAACCACTGAGCAAATTTATTTTTATTTACATGAATTTTTAAAATCTGTGGGCTTCCAATACTAGAAAGTAACCAACTACATTTTCTTATCCCTTTACATGTTGGAATCAAGCTCAGGTGCTTGCAAGTTTGGCAACATTTAGTTTCAGAAGCTCTGCAAAGGTCTTCCCACAAATAACCTGCAGAAGAGAGGATGGCATGAAGGCTTCCCTTTCCACTGAGCCCTCTGAAGAGCTGTGAAGCTTTAATTAATAATCTTTCAGGAACCAACAGCATTCATTTCTGTCTTTCACTGTTCCTACACGTGGAGTAGCTCCTAAAACAATTTCTCCCTGGAAGGGAAACTAAATCATCATTTGCTGTTCAGGTTAAAATGGAGAGGTTTCCCACAGACTGCACATAGACCACAGCCACCTAATCACACAGTCCATATTACCCAGCAACCCTGTGGACAAACTACATGGACATACTCCTCCTGAACGCCATTAATTATGACAGCTGTGGCTAAAGCAATGGGCAGCTGCACCAAAGATGTTAGAGGAACTCATTCTCTCCTGATTCAATGTAAACTGTTGTAAAGCTTTTTGTAGAAGAGGTTATCAACTAGGCAAGCCTCTACAGCTCTTCCTTAATGAGTTATCCATCAAAATTACGATGATATTTAAGTTCTGTTATTGAAATACATTGTGTCAATTGTGCGCACTGCATGCAATTTTTTAAAATATCAAAAAAATTATAATTTTCACAGAAGCACTATAGAAGTTACTCTTCTGAAAGCTATATAGTAAGTTCAATGCAGAATTTATAGAAACATAAAACCAAAGATTTGCTACAAGAAAAGCAAAAAAACTAGCAGAGAAATGAAATGCAAGTTTTTCACTTCCACTGTAAGAAGGTGGGTACAGACTTGAAAGCTCAGGAGACAGCTGAGGCTCTGCCCAGAGAGTTCAGACCTTTAACAGCAACAGACGCACAGAGACAGTGTCCAGAGCCTTACCTGGACGTTGACAAGATAGCTGTCCCACATACAGAACTGGAAGAATTAATAATTATTTTGGTCAAAATTCACTAATAATGACAGGGCCATTTTCTAAAGGGCTTTCATGAGATTTTATGTGAAACATTCATACTGTATCATACAGTAGCAGCATCAGCTGTTGACATAGAGATGCAGCCTTTGAATCAGGAAGTCCCAGACTGATGGAAACTCAGAGGATATATGGCCAAAAGTATTTCTGTGTGCTTGCCCACACACAGGCTACTGGCTACTCTCACAGCTTAGACAACAATTATTTGGCCTGACATAGCCGATTCCTACATAATTGCCATCCTTCACCACCATCTATCACTCTACAACCCCTGCCACAACCACAAGTCCATCTCCTCCATTTTATTTCTCGGAGAAGCCATGTGTTAACAGATGCCCTTGTTACCCCTCCAGAGTAAATTTTGGGCTTTTGGGCTTTCATCTGTTTTGAAGAGCAGAGTATTCATGTTAAATAATTTGAGAAGGTTTTTAGACCAAAGAAGCATATTTGAACTTATATCATCATTATTAATACTAGCACCTCAATCAGCATCAGGGTTTCAACATACTAAGTCAATTACACATACATATACAAAAAAATTCCCACATTACATTAACAGTAATAATAAAGTATAAAAGAGAATGCAGGTATCTTCCAGATGAATTCTTACACCAGCCACATCTCCAGTTACCACTGTTAAACCACAAAGACTCTAAACTAGCTTGCTCTTATCTCCTGTCTTCTCTGATGATTCAACCTGTAAATATTTGTGATGCCTGCTGAAACCTGTCCCTCATATGTATTTTCTTAATGACATCTTATAAAAAAAAAAAATCCAGGTTCTAACTGAGAAACTCATTACTTTATCTATCTGTTAGGACAAGAAAAAACCCAAAATCATTTGGTTTTCTCTCCTACAATCAAAGTGTTTGGGTATATTCAAAATGTAGACATGTTTCTCAAGTTTGCTCAATTTCCTTAAATAATAAGTTTATATTTTAATTAACTATGTTTTCATACAATCAGTTGATTTGGATAAATTTATACTGATTAGATGCTACTTAGATAAATTTTATTCTTCAAGAACATAATTTAATACAAGTCAGTATTGAACATTGAAGAGCATTCTCATGGTCAATTTTGCACCACCAGTACATGCAGATATATTTGTATTAATTAAAATTGCTTGAATATATTTCAAATATGTTCTTTAAAAACATTGCATGATGCACATCTTTGCAAAACAGATGTTTAATTAACACTTCAGAGGAAAACACAAGTATTTCCAGGTTGAATCATCAGTGAAGATGTGAAACAGAACAAGCCAGTTTACTAGTTCTTGTGGTCATCAGTGGCAATGCTGTATGAAAGGCAAATTCATCCAGAAGACGACTATACGCATCATCTTCTATACCTTAAATAAATAGCATATAAGAATTTATTAAATACCAGAAAGAAACTTGGTTAGAGCAAATAAGACATTTAATAAAGACCTACAGACATTCTCAAAGAATGTCATAATTCTGTAATTATGACTACCATAATCAATAATCACTGTCTGGGCATAGAGAAAGAAAGAACAGGTATTCTGATTCTCATTCTAGAAATCTGAGCAGCATTTAAAATTTATTTTCCATCAAATGCAAATTTGATATTCAGCACTGCCAGAATAAAGGTATGCACAATATTTACAGACTTCCAGAAGCAAGCTCTTGCAATATTCGGTCAGAATGTGACAAGTTCAGAATTCTAAAAGAAAAACAATACATTAGAACAAAAACAACTGGATGGCTTGCTATTGTTACTTATATTAGTTGTGAGATTATATTAGTTTCTGTTGTTTGCTGTTTGACATTGTGATGCAGTGAGGCTAAGAGGGGAATAGATAAAATTATCATTCACTTGTTAATGCTTCTCAAATGAAAACCAGCTAATTGCAACAAATACGTATCAAATAACTGCAACAAATAGTCAAGTATCAAATATGGTAAAGAACATTCTTAATTACTCTCACATATTAACCTTATAACCTGCTAAAATACTGCTTGAACATAACCAACTTCCATTTTCTTCATCAAGAATTTCAGAATCTACAATCTGTTTAATTGATCATTAGATAGTTGCCTCCTCTTCGGACATAAAGAAAGGTACCTGGCCAAGAGAGGGAGTTCAGAGAAATCCCAAGGAGCAGGAGTGAAGAACTACCTAGCAAGAAAAACTGGCAATGATTCAGAGAGATTGCAGGGAACAGTGCTGTGGCTGAGGCTTGCTGGAGAAGACTGACAGAACAGTGTGATGGCTTCTATACACTTAGGAAGAATTTTGAGAAAAAACTGGGGGAAATGGGCCACCATCTCAACCTGTAATACAGAAGATGGCCAATACGCTTGGCCCTGGGAGCTCCAGGCAAACACAGGCAAGAGTCGTTTGTACTCAGTCTGTGCTGGGTAAATTCTCCTACAGGCACTTCCATTAATTAAAGCTCAGAAAACAGTCCAGGAACACACTGCCATGTGTGTGTGTCTTCTGGCACAAGAACAGTATGGATTGCTGCTTTTCACCTTCACAGGGAAACATGTCACAACATGTGCAACTCCGTTCATGTGCTTATTTAAACTGTGCAGCAAAGTATATAACAAAGTCAAACCAACTTTATACCACCGATGCCCTTCCTGTAACCTAATAACACCTATCAGGGGAACAGGGGGTGCCATACATCCTCCTCCTTCAGATATGTGGATTTAAAGCATTTTTGGTTTTTTACTTAGTTTTTCAATACTGAATTTCTTAAGAAACTTTTGTGAACACAAAACCTTCTCTACAGATTTACTCAGTATCTGCAAATTTAAGTAGCTAAATTGAAACAGCACTGGAGGAATCTACAGCTTCTAGATAAGCTCTGATGGCACACACTTCATTTGAAAGGCCATGCTAATGATTTAGCAAGACATTTCTGTAAAATGGGTTAAATAAATTATGTATTCGGCATATGCACAATAATGATAGGGAAGTACTTTTCATACAACTAGTTCAGCTTTGGAAATGTTTTGGCAGTCAGAGCAAATTTGCAAAACAAGTCACAAATGAGGTCCTCATCTTGGTTTAAAAACATCTTCTGATTGTGGCTTACCTAGTGAGCAACCTACACTCTACCCTTACTCACACTCCTGTGTTTGAAGTGAAGTACAAGAAAAAAATGTTCTTAAAAAGGACCTGTTGAACTTTTTGGTACAGGTTCTCTCTCAGTCCCATTTGAGTCTTAGAAAATTTTACACAGCTTGGTAAGAAGTATTTTCAGCAGTAAGTAAAATTTATGACCCTTGTGGTACTTAACATTTATCTACCCTACAACAAATTCTTTCTTCTCCAGAGCACACTGTCAGCTATTTCTCATCATCTAAGTATTTTGCTGACAACCAAATCAGATCATTTTATCCTTTAAAGTGTATGGTGGTGGTCTTCTCAGGAAAAAAGTAATGCTAGGGGGCTGGGGAAAACGATATATTACATTTGAAAGCTTACTTGCACAAGGTTGCCTTTATGTTAAAAATGTCTACAAACTCAGTCACACACAGCTCAGCTATGTATTTGGCAGTCTAAGTTTCTTCTCATTTCTTAAGTTCTGGCCATCAGCTTTAACCCACTGCTCTAGTACCTGCGGGAAACTTTCATTATGGTTTTAGTAAACTGGTCCCTTCCCACTGTTACTGGTCAAAGTACAAAGTAATAAGGAAAACTGCTACAGAAGCTCACTTTGTTTGTCTATCCTTTGCAATGTATGAGAACTCTTAATGGTGAGTTCTCCATGAGCAATTAAATCCTTAAACCACATCCTTTTCTTTTCCAAATCATACCTGGGTGAATTTGGTGAATACTTGACTTACAACTTAACTTACATTTCTCATTTCAGAATCATTCCTGACCTCTGTGGGTTCCCCATAGCAAAACAGCGCTTTCCTGCAAGAGCCATCCTACTGCCTACAACTTGTTGGGTATGAATCAACTGAATATTTACAGTATGAAATACAAGTTTATAACATAGTGAAACAAGATAATCTAGGGTGTCTGGAAGCCAAGTCAGTTTATTTCCAGTTCCTTAAGATAAAGAATAAAATAGAGTCCTTTCAACTCTTTTTCATTTCTCATTAGAATTTTTAAAAAAACTGAGTAGAAGAATCCTCAGAAAAATTGCAAATCACATAAATATTATTTAAAAGAGTATTTTGTTCATTGTTCCATGCTTGTGCCTCAGATATACTCATTAACTATATGTTTACGCTGCTTTAAAAAACATCTGTTTATTCACCTGTTTGTGCAAGCAGAGCAAAGGCTACAACAATACAAAGGAAGCAAAAATATAAATTTGCAAGCATCATCGGAAGACATCAAATCTAAATCAGTCCTATTTTACACAATATTATTGTTTAATCTCCATATATTCTCAAGCTTTCAAAAAGGTGAGAATAACCTTAGAAAAACGTCCTTTTTAGGAAAGACCCTAATCACTGGAAGTCTTTCAGAAGCATTTTTTCTCATACAACTCCTATTGACAATTTGCAATTTCAAGAAAACATTTGAAAACTAAACAAACATATACATCATGCAGTTATGTACCTTACTAAGTTTTTCCATGTCTTGATAGTGTCCTGCTGCTTTTTTCTGCTCCTTGGTCACTTCTGAAACAAGCCTCATGATTGTTTCTCTACTAGCTTTGGACTCCATCTCATGGACATTGATAGCTTCTTGAAGAGCAGCAACCTGGTCTTTTAGTGTCAGATTTTCTTTACATATTTCAGAGACCTAGAGAAATAATTCAAATATTAGTAACTTTTTTAAAGCAGTTAACAATGACATATATTCAGTCCAGTACACCTGTTCCTAATCATCCCAATAAAGACATGGTGTTTCTGGTGACCTCTAGGTCAGATTTATAATTGCACGCTACTATTCCTTTCTAAAAAGAGTAGAAAGACAATTAAAATGAGAACCATATTCCCACCAGAAACCCACACCTTAGTGTAATGTGGTTCAGATTTACTCCCACACAATCTCCATGTTCTATTAAACAGGTGGAGAGCTACTGATGCTGCTTATCTGCACTTGATATGAAGCAGGTCAGAAAATGGAAGCAGATAATATAACTAACTTCATGCGAAAAGCAGACCATTTCAGTTTGGCTTGTTAAGATTTATCTGTCTCATTTGGAACAAGAAACTGAAAGCTGCATTTTATGCTTGAAACTTTTTAGGCATGGGGAGATTTGAGTTAGTAACAGATATTTCATAAGCATATTCAAGGGCAGGGCCAAATACCTGGTAGGCTGCTGTTCTGAGCAGCCGACACCTTGGAAAAAGGAGTTATTTCCAGGAGGATTCTAGGACTGTTTTGGCACATTACACTATTTCCAAGAAGTGGAATAGATGAGTGTGGGCACTTCAAAGAGTGCATAAGGTAAAAAAAAAAAAAAAAAAAAGTACTCTGGCTCCTACTGGCAAGACGTTTATTAGGATTAAGCCAGATCAATTCTGTTCTAAATAAAACCATATGTGGAAAAGAAGCTAAATAGACATGCCATGGCCCCAAACAGAAAAATGAGTTGCTAAGTTTTCCTAATGCATGCAGTTTTCAGCACAAATTAGATTTCCCAACTAGATTCATTTTTACATTGTTAAAACAAGACGTCAACATACACTGTTTTTTTTAAATTCCAGTTATGTCCTTAACTTAAAGCGTATAAGAGTTACAGCTTAATACAAACATCTTTGCCTCTAATGACAACTAGCCAAGTTTTGTTAGAGTATCTATTACAATTTCAATGGGCTTGCAATATTATGAGGGCAAGGACTGTAAGAAACCACTGTGATACATACCTAGATAATCTTAATTTATTAAGTATTCCTTATAGCCAGAATTCTTAGAATATGAATAGAATGAAACAAAATTTCAAAAAATACCTAGTATGCTCCCAAGTGAAGAAAAATAGGGATAGCAAAGACTAGACAGAACATGAAAAAAAAAAAAGCATAAAGTTAGGATAAATTGCCCTTCACCAGTATTGATTTATGTTAAGAGTCTACAAACAATTTTCCTTTCCTAAATGGAAGCTTAGATTTTGGAACTTCAGAAATATTCTGAAGAGAAATAATAAAGTTTCATGATTAGGTTTCGAAAACACCACACAGTGATTTACAGCATTTTGTTACAGGGCATAGTTAAGGTTGGTTTAGGGTATGTCATTTCAGATGTTTCTCCTTAATGGTATATCCGTTCAAGATAAGTGTTAAGATCTAGTATACAGTTTACATGTCTCCTAGTGACTCCCCATGTTAATGTTTTCAGGAAAGCTTTCAACCAAGTATCTAATCAGGGTTGTACTCGGGAACTACAGGTTGATGAAATATTTATGCAGATAAGAGTAGATTGAGTTCACTGAGGTCTACTAGTGTTCAGCACTTTTGAAAATCAACCCAGGATGAAAATAAACCTATCTTAAATGAGAGCACTGTCTGCGAATCATTATTTAACACAAAGATTCCTGTCTCCATCAGTTGCTTTATTTCTTTGACAACCAAATATTATTCTATTAAATCTCTGTACAGAAACCCCTGCCTACACATAATCACCTTCAACATTAAATGTTCCTGTGGTTTCTCTTTTTCTCTGATGTCTGCGTCCAAGAATCCAGAAAGCTGTGCAAGGAGCTCTTCATACTTTCTGCTGATTTTAGAGGCTTGAGTCATGCTTTCTTCACACTCATTCAAATATTTACTAATCAGACAGAAAAAAAAAAAAATTACACACATCAGGATAAATGTTCTCTGGAGCAGAATTCTAGGCAAAAGACATTATCGCAAGATTATTGGTAGCTTCTGCATACCACAAAATGAATTTTTAAAATTACATATAATTCTCTATATCTGTTATTTAACAGATATCACTTTTGTTGTTGCCTTATGTGTAAACATTTCTTCATCTTTGCTTTTGATTAACACTTTAAAGAATCCTCTACAATCCCAAACTCATCCTCAGCACAAAATTTCAATAAAAAACAAGAACTAGGTAACATCCATAAACAGTGCCATCAAGATACTAGAAGTGGAGGCTGCAAGCAAAAGCTTAGAAAAAGTGAGAGTGATCAAATTATCATAAAAATATGCTAAAAGCACTTCACATTCCCTGTCTCTCTAATGAAGCTGACAGTGCTGATCAACAAACTCCAGGGAAAGAAACAAACTCCAGGAAAAGAGAAGCCCCTCCAGACTAATGGAAATGTAGGACATCCAGCATACATGCAAAGGGAAGTTTACCAGCAGAAGCAAATGGAGGTGGGAGACACTACTTTGCTGTACATAAAGTCTTCTGCAATGTAACACTACCCATGAACACAGGACATGAGGGCAAAGAGGAGAAAAAAAGCACAGACTAGATTCAGGCTAAAGGGATCCATTAAAAAACAAAAATATCAAGGGACTACCACAACAATATGAAGAAAAGGCAGCTTTTTGTCATCAATTTCATCGCTCTCGAAAGGTGCCTATCACATGGATACATATCCCACATGAAATATCTGTTATCAGCCTTAACAGCAGGTACTGGTTTGTAAATGCTCTGTAAGAACAAATAACCAAACAGAGCGGTCGGTTTAACTCATTGGCATAAATGTGGCTACATCCCTCCCATTGCCAAGGACAAAGACAAGTCCCGCAAACAAGCATTGCCCCAGTCTGCATAGCTGGCAAACATATAGATCTAAATCTTGCTCACGATGCTGCAATGCCGAGCACCACTCCTGAAAAACTACAAAGAAACAGTTTAACAAAAATACCCAACCAAAGCTCAGAATTGCCATTAGTGTAATCCAAATATCAACTCCAACAACATCCATGAGAGAGGTACTCAGTGGTAAAAATACAGTGCCAGAGACAAAACTATTGAGCTTCCAGTTGACAAACAAGATACTTTCTAAAACAAGCTCTTCACAAAGATTTGAACACTAGAATAAAACGAGATGTGAGATACCACCACACAGCTGTGCAGAGCTAATATTTTATTGAAACTCATTTGCTTATCAGAGCATAGCGCTATTCTCAGTTTTCAGGGTAGGCATGCTAGCCATTTCTGGATTCATTCTTTTCCATTTCTGATTTTTTCCTTTCTAGGATAGCAATCAAACAGGCAACAGAGCATCACTCCACAATCAAAAAGCAGCATAAGACTCCTATAGGAAACACAGAGTGAGTGCAAACACAGTACATTAAGTAGTTATAAATCACTGACCAAAAAGATGGTCCATGAAAAAATTTAAGATGTTGCCTTAGGAGGGAGATCAGCACAGTTGTTGTCAATGCTGCAAAGTGGAAGAGAGTGGAAGAATAACACAGAGAAATGGAAAACATTAATTACTGCTCCAGACAGGACGAGGATATTTCTATGTACTACTGCACAGCACACACAGTGAGCCAAAGGAGCTCTGCCTTCTGCAGCAGGCACTTGGCCCTCAGAAAACAAGTGCCTCACAGCTTTCTCACCTCCAGGCACCTTCCTCTCCTCTATAGACCCAGCAAAACTAAGCTGTGAGATGCTCACTAAAGTGCTGTCCTGAGGAGGGGTATGTCAGAAGTGAAAAGGTATGAGACTCCAGACATGCCATACATGCACACCTATACGTTAGAGTATTGTATAAGATTGACCACCAACCCTGCAAACTGTTCTGTGCCTCAATTTTTCAGAGCCACATCACACACAGAACCATGCCTGCTTCTAAAAATAAACAGTCTGAAGTACAAAGCACGTACTTGACAACTCTACGAATAACCTAATTACCTCCAGTAGGGCCATAAAGGTGTGAGCACCTAGAAAATAGGCAATCAGGTACAAAAAAGTGGAATGCAGCTCTTTCACAGTTTTGCTAGCTCTTCAGAACTAATGAACAAAGAGAAGGGGAAGAAAAAGAAAAAAAAAAAAGCTTTTCACAGTTCAGACTCTAAAAATACCTTGGAAATAGACCTGTGAGTAGAAAAGCACCATTTTCAATAGGACAGGTGTACATCTTGGAAACCAATCACAGAAAATTGTACATGTGTGGCACATGTAACCATCAGCTAAGGATGAGAAAAAGCTTTGAAAGCATACGCTGATACACTGTAGATTCATGACCAATCCAACATGTTTGTTCCTTCCAAAAGAGCAGACTCACCTTCCATTTGTCCCTTCCCTTTTGCCAGCACTCCAGTGGTACACTCTAGGTGCACAACAAAATGGATCTGGGATTGGTAGAGCTGGAAATTAAGCTTTTTATTTTGCTCACTTCTCTCTTGGAGCAGTTCCCCGGTCCTGATCACCATGCAGCAACACAAATGGAAGTGCTGACGCAATGTCATGGGCAAAACAGAGCAGCCAGGGCTGCACTGGGAGTGACAATACAGATTTATGCTACATAAAATCGATCATATCACTGTAGCAATAAGCTAGTATGATACACAGTATTTTGGCAGTTTTCTCCCAGTGAGTCACGCAAATGGTATAGGAAGTTTTTCTTCCTTTTTCTTCTTTTTTTTTTTTTTTTCCACAGAGGTAGCATTTTAAAGAATCTTAACAACCATTACCTCAGAGACTGTGATGGTTTCTATGTTGCTAGGATGCATAATACACTTATTGGCTTAACTATCTCCTCACTTATATTGGGATCATATCTAAAATCTTTGGTGATCAACATCAGCACTCTCCAGGCATGGCTTTTGGCAAATCAGCTGGTAATAGACAAGTGCACTGCAATGGATTTCTCTAGATTTTAAAATAACTTAATTATCCACTTCTAATGCACAAAGCCTGGAAGAGCTGTGGAAAATACTGATTTGGGAAATACAGACATCTGGTGAACACTCACCTTGCTCTTTAAGTAGATGATATTGAGAGAGACATGGATACTAGCCTTGTAATGGTGGGAAAAAAAGCCATTATAAAAGTCTATAAGGTGTCTATTAATATACTATGACTGACACTGATTTTGGAATTTGAGAGTTCAGAATATTTTCACACCAATCAGTTTTATTTGCAATCAACATTGCTATCAGTCTTCATCCCACAGACCTGAAGTATTAGCAGTGATGCAGAACTGACAGATCAGTGCTCTGACACACTATGCTAAGAACAGTATAGTTAAGGATACTATCTTTTATTAAAAGTTTCATGCAATCAGTATGCATGTAAAAAAAAAAACCCAACCCCCCAAAAAACCCACAGCAATGTCCAGAAGAAAGCAGAAGAAAAGTCAAACAAAGCTAACATTACTGAAAGCTGAACAAAAACCAAACATTAACATGCTCCCTTCAAGATGCTACTAACTAGGAATTATACCATACTTTCTTTATTACACTGCTCCTGATGGACAGCTTTACACTGAGAAAGAAATTCAGTTGACACTGTTCTAGTTCCAGCTGTGACACAGAAGAGGGTAAAAGAGACCGGAGTGGTGCAGCAGCACAGTCACTCACCACTGTATGGCCCATGCAGCATGTCAAGTGACAGGTAAATGCCTGCAAAAGATGCCATGTGATAAGGATAGTCTAGGGCACTAGACCATAGTTGCAGGTACTGCCCATCACAAGCATGCTATGAAAGGCACAAAGTTTGCCTCAGCGCCATGTGTGGAAATACCTGAATGAGGAAATCATATGTATTGTTTCTACTGCGTTCAGACAAACGGCCCTCTGTGCTCATTTTTTGTAAATGTTGAGGTTACACCGGGCTGACTCATATCATCATTTCTCCTCTGAAGGACAAAATCCTCAAAACCCCATTTATGGGCTAACAACTCAAACCAAAAATCAAATTTCAATACTTTCTACAAACTCAGGTCCAACAGTTATTCAAGGCACAACTGAATAGAATTCAGATCTGCAATAAAGTCTGTCCACCAACTTATTTTCCTGCATTGACAACTGCACCATTCTGTTATCCCAAACAAAAATTGTTTCTTGTGTCACATAAATCTTACTTAAGTTTGGCATTTTGCTCATGAAGCTCCTCCTTCAGCTCCCGGTTTTCCTTGAATGCCACCTGAGCTGTCAGCTCAGCCTGGTTTTTAGAAGTGGTGAGCACACATGCCTCTTCCTCTATCTCCTGAATTCGGGTTTGCAAAGACAGGAGGAGAGACATCTGTCTAGCATTGTTTTCCTTGTAGCTTTCAGCTTCAGCCTTCAGCTCTTGAAAAGAGGCTTCTTTAGAGACCATTCTGGACCTGAGTTCCAGAAGCTATAGACAGAAAAAGAGAAAACTCATAAAAAAAGGAAGAATAATTTTGCCCAGGCTGAAATATGCGACTGCACTACAAGCTTAGTAATGTGACAAGAAACACATTTTGGAACAAAAGACTCTCTATCACTACAAGACTGAGTGGAGGGACGCAACTTTATTTTCATATAACTAGGAAAAAGCAATGGAAGAAAGGGGTTTGTAAAACCAAAAGCTGCTGTTGTGTAATACAATACAACTTTTCAAGATAATCTCTTACAGGAAGGTAAATTTATTTACAAATTCAGAATTTAGGAAAAGCCCACCTTAAGTTCTTCTGTGCAGCCTTAACTCACCTCCCTTATGCATCTGCATTACAATACAGTCATTAACACCACTATTCCCTCTTTTCTGCCTGTGTCCTCCCTGCTCCCAATTCTGGTGCACAATTCCACAGATAATTTATAGCTGTGGGGAGTTGTAACACTGAAGTATCCTGTTGTATGAGGGTGAAGCCTCTTGATGATTTGCAGCATATTCAGAGGCAAAGAAATTTTTTGAGAGTTGTGGTGTAGGCAACCTCTTCTCCATTTATGCAAATAGTTATTTTATGGTCTGATAATCCAATCAAATGTAGTTGTATTTACACAGAAACAGCAACAGAACCTTTTAAGGAAGGGTGGGATGAGGGACATCACACCAAAAGTCAAGGACCTGTTCCAGAGATGATGCTAGAGCTTCCCAGCAATTCATGAAGTTCGGTTGTTTTTCTCTACTTTCCCCTCTCTCTTTTCATTCAAAATACCATTCTCCATTGAACTATTTCTGCTACAACCTCCTCTAAAAGACTGAGCCTGAGGCAGACACACCAGGCACATAAAATTTCAGTGTGTTTTATTCTGTTAAAATGAACAAGTAATTTAAAGTGGTGTTTTTGTCACAAGAAGTATTAAGGCATGTTTCAGCTTTCCTGACAATTCCAATTATAAGCAGCAAGATACAATCCAAAGCATTTATCTCCTATGACATAAAATGAACAGGCAAATAATTAAGCCACCTTAACTGCTCTTTATGACATGTGCTAGGGCTTTTAACTCATGGCAAACATTTTAAGACAATAAATATTTAAGACATTAAGCTGCAATTCAGGACATCAGGAAATTCACAGCTCTGCCAGAGGCTTCCAGTGTGACCAAACCCAAGACACTCAGAGAAATTCCAGGAGGCCAGTGAGCCAACTGAACGGCAACTGCCTTGGGAAAGAGAAGTCCTGCTTATCCCACTCCCAGCCACACAAGTCTGTCCTCTCCCTCGCACCAGCTGTGGTATTTGTCAGACTCCTACACAAACTTAACTAACACAGTTGATAGAAAATAATTCACTTTCTACAGAGGAGGAGGAAGGGGAGCTGGCCACATCACAGAGAAAAGGCTAACACCAGGGAGTCAGGCAGGAGGATCACTCTTGCAGCAGCGGCATAGTCTCTGATGAGCTTATGATTCACCTGCAAGCACTGGTTTATCAAACACATTGGAGCTGACATAAAGCGGCGCTGATTTTCAGAAAAGCAGCTCTGCCTTTTCCCAGGCTCACAGGCTTCATTTCCATGCTCCAGCCTCTTCTTTGTGCTAGCAGAAGCGCTTATATGGCTACAAGGTGAAATAAGATTGAGAAACTGATCCGGCTAAAAAACAACCCAGAAGGAGAGGCTTTATTTTTCAGTTGCATCAGTTCCCCAACAACACAGTGCACTGTAAAACTATATGTACATCTGTGCCAACACAAGGGATGTGGCAGTGTGGGGAAGGAAATGAGCAGCTGAAGGAACAATAGGATTGCTTTGCTTGGCAGCTGGACCAAGCTAGGGTAGCTTAAAGCATTTACAACTTTAAAATTTCTCTGTGGTTCAACTCCCCATCTGCAAAATGTGATATTTTTTCCTCTGTCCATTGTCTTTGTGGTCAGCTCCAATCGCAGAAAAAGCAAGAATAATCCCGTATCATGAGTTTTACAGAGTACTCAGCAAACCAGGGTTCTGACCTCAGCTGGGTCATGAAGGTCTTTATTAACAAGAGCATGAACAGCTGCTTTCTTGACTATTCTTTCACTTTTGCAAGCACAGTGCTGAAAGAATCTATAAATCAGTCAGTCATGCTGGCAATAAAGCCATTCAACATTTCCAGTAATAAATTCTTTCTATGAGAACATTGGATTCTGTATGGCTTTTAGAATTGAAATTTAAAGTACTGATCCTGGATAGCCATTAAATACAGGGGACCTCTGCAGTAATTTCAGGATCAACTGGTCAAATTCAAGCTTAGATGATGGACACTCACTCCTGTAGTTCTGACTGGATACTGTATTAACCATTCATTCTCATATAATATTACATGTTCTTGCTGTTCCCCATATTCAGCTATCCACAATTAAAGAAATTTTGTTTCATTGATAGAGCCTTTTTTAATGTTCATGTGCTATGCAAGTATATTGCAAAGTACTTTACAATGTGCAATAGAAATACACATTTGTAAAATGCACAGATGTTTAAAGTACTAGTTGGATGAATGTTCACAAGTTTCTGTCAAACTTTATGTATCTATGAATATTTATGAATGTATACACCTAAATCTATGTATATAAATAAATGTAAGCACTTCATGTCTCCTAAAGGCAAATCTGACTCCATTTTAAAACAGACCACTGCCCGCATTGCTGAATTGGATCAAATCAATCCTATTCGGTGATATGTTTAAAAAAAAAAAAAAAAAAAAATTAAGTGTGAAAATACAGAAACTCTAAAAAATATCGTATAATAAATCCTCTCTCCTAAGAACCACCATTCCCAGAGCACGGACAGCAGAAAAATATGTGTGCGTTTTCTTCAGCCTCTCTAGTTACAATCAACCTCATTAGCTCAATCACAACTTCTCTGGTAATGAAAGCAAAGCAAATTTGGGGAGCTGTAACTTGAATAAAGTGGAGGAATAGGTGAGGATGGGCAATTATATCTTAACTCATCAGCAACAGGATCTATCAGAACTTCTATATGACCACAGTTTAGAAATATTAACTTTCAAGTTTAATTACAAAAGATTGCATTTAGATGATAATGATGAAAAGCTAGACTGCTTCAAATCTTTCAAATATAAGCTCATAATCAGTTTTGGAACACAGAAGCAAGCAGAGTAAAAATCACATAGAAATTCTGTGTTACCAGAAACAAAAGTTCTGTATCAAAAGCAAGAAGTTTTGGACTTTCTGCAAACTTTCTATTCTCTGCAGAAAGTGTCTGTAGAGAATCCTCAGGTTTGGAGAAGGATTTGGAAGTATTTTTTTAAATGTACCTCTGACTGGGCACAATCATACTTCACTGAAAGTGCTGCAAGTTCACTTTGAGCAGTTTCAGCTGCAGCTCGATAGTGATTCATCTGCTCTCTAGTGACAGGAATATCCAAAGGAACATGATCATGAGATTCCTGGGAAGACAGCATGCAAACAAAACCATTAGACATCACATTTTTTGAAGATTTTTGCTTCAGTGCGTTTTTGTTTGATTAAGCTGCTCAGGGGGACCTATTCCAAATATGTTATTCCCAGAGTAACTGACCCTTACTGGAAAACAGGATAAGCAGTCACTTTTCTACCTTTCAGTCTTTCTACTTTTCAGTCTCCACCTTCATCTGCAAGTTCAGCCATCAACATCAGTGCTAAAGTATATTGGCACGTAAGATATTCCCCCTCAACAATCCCATGGCCTCCCACTATTTTCAACTCAGGTTGTTTCCTGCAGTTTCAGTGTATTTAGCAACATTCAAAGGTCCCTCTTCTACAAACTTACCTAGTCACTCCTTCAACCCACATAAACTTTAACCCAAAGGAAGTCCTCAGGTGTCTCTTATGCAAAGAACTACGTTGGGTTTGAGACTTCAGTTACATTGCACACCCCCTCATTTTTATGTTGGAAGAAATGGTGAAAAAAAAGAAAAGCAATGGCTGTCAATCTTCTCTGTGCCATTCATGTTTTTGCAGATTTCTATCATCTCACTTCCAGTGTCTCTCTGCCAGGTTGACAAGTCCAAGCCTACTCAGACACTCCTACTTGCTCCTCAAAGTCACTTTTTGGCTTGCCCATTTGTGCTTTTATTTCTAATCTGCCAAGACTAAACATCCTTTTGAACTCCATCACTCGGACATAACTTCAGCTTTCTGAATGATGCTTTCTCATCCCCAGAAATCACCATACTGACATCCTTTCACCCTTTTTCAAGCCCTTCTGATAGATGGCAAGCACTGGCTCTCTATAACTCTTCTAGCTGTGCTTTTTAGACTCTTTACAGTAAGCTTTCCCATTCTTGTGTGGTTCTGCTCTTCTATGGTAGGGCAGAAATGTGTTGGACTTCTTGGCCTTTGTCACTTAAATCGTTCAATATGAAAATTCAGACCTGAGGTCTTGATAGGAGTTTCATTAGACAGAACATTTTTTTTAAATCAACAGTGACTACAAAATAAAGAAATTTAACATCTTCAGAACAAGACTGTGTTTAGGTGATGCTGGGAGCACACGTGGCAGATGACAGAACATGAGATTTTTATTCCATCAGCTCCCACATGGGACAAACAAAACTGCAAGCCCAGTGCATTAAGGCATATATTACAAAATGCAGATCTCCCCCAGTTAATGACTGCTGTTGAAACAAGGTATTCCAATGGAGACAGAGACAAGACTTCTTCACTTCCTGTTCTTCTACATCAGCATTGGTTCCGGGTCAAGATAAATTACAAGTTTAGCTCCTACCCATTCTAAATAGAAAAAAAAAAAAAAAATGAACAGCTTTCTAAATAGGTGAACATCTAGTAAAATAAGCCTCTACCAAGAAACATACAGAAAAATCCCTGGAGAATAAGGCAAAACTACTAGTTTGGACTGCAGGAGAAGATAAATTACCTCGGATTAGTTTCTCATTGTCGACTATTTTCTTTAATGTTTCTTTAGTGCACTAGTACACACTGGATTAGATCCATCAAGTTTAATCACATTCATCTCCCTCAAAGACACTCAGCTGTGCTCTTTTCACAAAGGAATTGCCACTCCCATCAAGACAGACTGATACATGTAGCACACAATCTCCAAGATAAAAGGGCTGCTAACTTTTTCAATACTTTATCACCATTCTGAGGGAGTGAGGGAAGGCATGTGCTGTCTCTTTGCTACTTTGTCTTCTTTTTTGCTTTACTCCACTTGTTTCACATTGTGCAACCACATGAAATTCTTTGATGTAGAGAGGGTTTTTTTTCCATTCTGTAATACACCAGGGCTCCAAAACCATGGCTGGAGCTTGCAAACTGTAGCACTGTGTATGTTATTATATTACTGTATTGATGTATGTTTTCTTTTTCTTCCCTTAACAAACACAACCACTTATGACTCTCTAGAAAGCAGGAATACATCTCAAAACTGATGAAATAAAAAAAAATCCAGAGCATAGCTGAAGAAAGAAGTCCCCTGTTCAGCAACAATAATCAACATAAGAAAACTCTTTACAGATGGAACTTCTGAAACCTACATTTGTAGGTACAACTAGATTTTAAAATTATGAGCACTTTAAAGATGCAGATATACATCCAGAGGGACTTAAAAGAGGTTTAAATGAAGCCAGGTGCAAAAGTCAATGGGATTTACCATTTCATTCATTTACAGTCTTAGCGAGATTTACAGAAGCAGATCTCTACATCCTCCAGTGCCTTAGTAAATACAAAGCTAATCATACATGGTGACACCACACTAGGAAACTCGGTGTGATTATCATACTTTTGGCAGGGAATGTGCATGCTTTAATATATAAGTAAATAGTTTTCTATGTTTTGCCAGCAGCCATTCACAAGTCTTATCATTAATAATACCTATAACAATGCAAGTAATTTGGCATGACTCTACTATAGTGGTAAAATCCGTAATGCAGATGTGGCACTTTTGTATCTCTGGAAAAATTCAGATTTGTAGTGCTTCATGAGTACTATGTAGTTTATACTGATTACTGCTAAGAAAATAGAACGAATAAAGTTGTAAAAGAATAAGAGGCAGCAGACAGGAGAAGCCTTAATATATTATCACTCAATCAGCTCTAAATAATCTAGGTTTTGGGTGTTTCTCACATTCACATTCTTAACTGTTTCGATCCTTTTCCACTTACCTGCATGAAAATGAAGTTTTCATTTCACTTCAAATGTTAAACAGAAGATAAAGCTATATTTACTATACTTAAGAGTAATATTTACTTGGACCTTTGGCTTTATTAGCAATAGGCATGCTTTACAAGATCAACAACATAAGGTCATCGTTGTTATTGTGGGGTTTTTTGTTTTCATTTTTTTACCAAATAACTCCTTTCACCTCCCTGGAATCCGGCCTGTGGTTGGCAAACTTCACCCAATTCAGAAACAACAGAATTTCAACAACATTCAGTAGTTTTATACATCACCATATACTTTGAAATTGACCAACTGTTCAAGTCACTCGCTCCCATTCTGCTTTTGTCAGCTTTTCTTTTATTTCCTGCTACATTTCTTATTTCAACCCTGGCAAATGCTGCTGCCACTGCCCCCTCTTTCCTAAAATATATATAAAAAAAATCTCTATTGAAACAGAAAGCCCTCAGTAATCAGTAAACTGACCACTACCCTGAGTGACTTGCCAATGCATTGCCTCTTTCCCATAGCAGATGGACACTACTCAGGGCAGGGATTTCTTCTTCCTGTTTCCAAAGCACCTAAGCACATTGGGGTTGGCATACCAAAAATGACGACTCACGAACCTTCGCTGACTCCATTCTTCCCTTGCTTCTACAGAACAAACACGGAGGAGGGGGGAAGAGAGGTTGAAAATTAAATAGATTTGCAATATGATGACACATGACATTAATTTTTCACAGACCTGCTTTACTAAACTATGTCATAAGTTACCATCAGCAAAGTAGGGCATAAAAGCAGACCACTATATGAAAGCTTTGCTAGTAGCCTACAAGCTTTGATGGCCTCCACAACATTCAAACCCACATCTAACTAAAACAGACATCTTAACTTTGACTTCTCTGGGTTACATTCACTGGTTCAGCTGCACAGTCAGGCTTTGTGCATTTACCGCTTCCTTTTGCCACTGCTTTTCATGTACTCCAAGTTTTTATTTCATCTCTCCTTTTACCCCACATCTCTTCTACACTGATAAAATTTAAAAAAAAAAAAAAAAATCTGAGCAATAAGCACATGATCTATCTTAACTGAACTACATCTCTTTCTCTCCTCAGATGTTAAGGTAACTAGTGGTCCCTTTTTACCTACATCTTTATACAGGACTTAGCACACTGGTTGGACTCAGTGGGCTATTCAATAATTTTTATAAATCCCAGTGTCATAACAGTTCATATTCTGAAAACAAACAAAATAAGATATCCTGAATCTGTAATATTTCTTCCTAAGACAAATTCATATTCATGGGTGTATATGTGCATAAAAATTGTTCTGATTTCTGAAAATACAATGCAGCAGCACAGTTCATTATTATTATTTGCTGCAACCAGAATGAAGATGACACCCAACATGAAGTACTGGAAAGAATGCACAGCTGAAAAATTTCCACGCAGAATTCATCTCCCTAAGAAATCACAAGGAAATGTTAGTCCCCAAACCTGCTATTGGATCTGTGGGAGGATAAGGTGCCCTTCAAGACAATGGGGATGAAAAGGAATACATTCTGTATGGCCTGAACTGCTGTAAAAGGGATCTTTAACATTATGCTTTGATTGCAAGTATTCTGACTACAGCTAGAAACTTAATATTAAAAGTTTGTTGCCATCCAGAAGCTAACTAGCTTAATTTTCTGATTAAACAGTCAAAATATGTTCTAAAAAAGGCTGTTTTCAAAACTGCCTTGTATAAATTTATTTTAAAAGAAAAGAAAATTCTACTTCAGCATGCAGGGAATATTCAATTTTTATTTTATTTTGCAAAATGGGGGATGAAGGGATTGAGAGCAGCCCTGCGGAGAAGGACTTGGGGGTACTGGTGGATGAAAAGCTGGACATAAGCCAGCAATGTGCGCTTGCAGCCCAGAAGGCCAACCGTATCCTGGGCTGCATCAAAAGCAGCGTGGCCAGCAGGTCGAGGGAGGTGATTCTGCCCCTCTGCTCTGCTCTGGTGAGACCTCACCTGGAGTACTGCGTCCAGCTCTGGGGCCCTCAGCACAAGAAGGACATGGACCTGCTGGAGCGGATCCAGAGGAGGGCCACCAAAATGATGAGAGGGCTGGAGCACCTCTCCTGTGAGGCCAGGCTGAGAGAGCTGGGGTTGTTCAGCCTGGAGAAGAGAAGGCTGCGAGGAGACCTGATTGCGGCCTTTCAGTGCTTAAAGGGGGCCTATAGGAAGGATGGGGACAATCTTTTTAGAAAGGTCTGTTGTGACAGGACAAGGAGTGATGGATTTAATCTAAAGAAGAATAGATTTAGACTAGACATAAGAAAGACATTTTTTACAATGAGGATGGTAAAGCACTGGAACAGGTTGCCCAGAGAGGCAGTGGAGGCCCCATCCCTGGCAACATTGAAGGTCAGGTTGGACGGGGCTCTGAGCAACCTGATCTGGTTAAAGCTGTCCCTGCTCACTGCAGGGGGGTTGGGCTAGATGACCTCTAAAGGTGCCTTCCAACCCAAAGCATTCTATGATTCTATGAAAATAATCTATCCTGGGATAAAGACAGACAAGTTTTAGAATATAATTTCTTCCTAAGATCTGCAGGATAAAAAGCAAATCTTTATATAAATAACTACAAGTTACATGACAACTGGGCACTGGACGGTTTTTAGAGATTAATTTCTGAGTCACATGGAGGGAAGGCAGGTAGCACTTGGCTATTGCACATTTTGCTTGGTAGCAGCAGCTAGCCAGCCAGCATGCACATCCCTTCAGAACAGCCACAGCAGCTACACACACCAATGAGTGTGAGAAGGGTAAGCCACTGTTACACAGTAAGTCAGATTTTGTTAACTCATGTGAAAACAGACTAACATAAATTGGAGTAATTAAGGGGGCGGGGGGGGAATAACAAAACCACAAATGTTCACAAATTAACCATCTTGTATGTGTATGTTGGGTAAGGTTGACTCCTTTCTAGATAATACTTTGCCCAATTTGCCTATCAGAGATCTCAAAATGTATCGATAATGCTTCATTAACATAAATTTCAAAATTTGCAAGTAACATTTCAAAACCATTCCAGTTCTGTCAGTCTCTCTTTCACATTATAAAATGCCAGAAATAGCCAATTACTTTTGATCACTTCCCACTCGGTGAAGCCCTCTTTCCCCTCCCCGATTTCTGCGTGTAACTAGGCCCAACTCATTGCTTGCAGTTTTTGCGTGTGCAATTGTGAAAAGTTCTTTTTTTGTTGTTGCTATGTGCCTGTGGATTTTGTATGCATTACTACACTGCTCCAGAAACACATAAAACTGAGCAAAGTGCTCCCAACAGCTCAAATAACTAAAGAGATTTTCTAAATTCCTTTGACAAGGGTATTGCTTAGCTCTACCCTCCTCCCTTTGCAGTAATCGTTGAAAGGTGTTCCTGAAAGATAAAAATCACTCTCTGGTGTTGTTCATCTACTGAAGAGGCCAATTTCAAGCTTGATTAATGCAAGTTTCATGACAATCAAAATTTTAGTCTTACCCTCTACTATTACACGCCGCAGTTAAAGCATTTTCATCTTTTGTTTTCCTCTCTGCTAGGATGAGGTGACTTTGCATCTAAATATAATAAAATTATGAAAGACAGCAGTCATCTCAAGGCAATTACAGAGACACATCACCTACTGTAAATATTACTTAACATGATTTTGACTTTACTTCATTCTTTGCCTGTATGCCTAAATTCAGGAATTTGGATCCCCCCGGCACTTTGTCTCACAGCTTTTCCAAAATGAATTAACAAGAAGTAGTTGCTGTGTTTAGTCTCGAAATAATAAGAAGGGTAATTGCCAAGACAAAATTTAGGAGAAAAACATGACAAGATGAAGTGCTTATGCAGGGAGTTTTGCAAACCACTTGTTGTTTTACTGTTTTTACTTTATCGGTGCTGAAGGCAGTTAAATAACTTTTGTAAGAGAAGACCTTAAATGATAGATTTAAAAAACAGATATCATGCAATGCCAACACTCTTGCAATTTTTTTACAATACTTATGATACTTTACTACAGTCAATGAAAGGCAAATATTTTAGATATATGAAAGGCAAATATTTTAGATATATTTAAGTGTGTCGGTAAATACACAATTAAGACTGATTAGTGCTGTAATTTGATTTGCCTTTTGAAACCCACATTTTATAAATAACATAGTTTCTAACATGCTGCCGAGTCATGAAAGTAACATTCACAAACTGACTTCAGGTCAGTAGGAGGTGGAGCAGGTTACTGTCAGCTCTGTAACTATGCAGTTACTATGCACTTTCATAATCAGATGAAAGCAGTTGTACTTAATATAATGGCCATTGATTTAGCCATGACAAAACTACCAAAATTCTGTGTTTTTTTGTCTCAGAACAATACAACATAATTACAAAATTGATATTCAGCTATTAAGGAGATACTGAGATGTTCACACACTAACAAATTGTTTATCCTTTGGAATACAAAACCGTTACAAGTTTTCTACTCTATCTCTAGTACAAACGAGTTTGATCCTTCTAAGCAATATCCTCAAGCGTCTCCTTTAAATTCACATCAAAGCCAGCAAACTAGTTTCAAAGGAAGAAGAAATGCAAAGAAGAAATTCTGAGATAACTGTAAATTCCTACTCCATGAAAGATACTCCCTTCTGCAATACTTAAGAAAAAGCTTTCGTCCTTGAATTTGTAAAGAAAAGCTATAACAATCAGCTGAAGTTCACTGAGCTACAGCTGAAGCGCACAGCCACCGCCACGTACAGCTCTGCAGCTGCATGGTTTGTTTGTTGTTTTTTTTTTTTTTTTAAAAAGGAGAAATTAGATTTAAAATTGAAAAGATAACTTGCAAGGGGGGGAGTTACAGTCAGCCTCAATGTCAGTCACCCTCCACAGAAACAGGAGACAGAAAGCCATCGGAGACCGAGGGCGGCAAGGAGGGGGATTTTTCCAAAATCGGGGCTCTATTCTCTAATAAGGGAACTGTAAAAAAACCCCAAACCAACCCGAACGCTGTACTC